GTGGTTTGTTACTGGACTTCTGTGCTAGTCATGGATTGGCCATAACAAACACCATGTTCGAACATAAGGATGCTCATAAGTGTACGTGGTACCAGAGCACCCTAGGCAGAAGGTCCATGATCGATTTTGTTATCGTATCATCGGACCTGAGGCCGTATGTTTTGGACACTCGGGTAAAGAGAGGGGCGGAGTTGTCAACTGATCACCATCTGGTGGGGGGAAGCCTCTGGATAGACCTGGTAAGCCCAAACGTGTAGTTCGGGTGAACTGGGAACGTCTGGAGGAGGCCCAAGTTCAGGAGGCCTTCAACTCACACCTCCGGCGGAGCTTTTCGGGCATTCCTGTGGAGGTTGGGGACATTGAACCAGAGTGGACGGTGTTCAAAGCCTCTATTGCCGAAGCCGCGGCGGGGAGCTGTGGTCTCAAGGTCCTAGGTGCCTCAAGGGGCGGTACGAAAGAAAGAAACGTAAGAAACGTTCAAACAGATAATTCCTTGTTTTTTTTCAGACTAAAACATTTATTTGACAATCAAAACATTTGCCAAATAATTTCGTGTTGATCGTTTTATCTTTTAAGTCGACAGAATCTTTTCTCTCAGATCTTTTCTTGCAATATCGCCAAGCTCTTATCGGGAGGTTCTGCTCCTTCTGCAGGTCCGTCTTTGATGAGTTTTTTTTTCATACGCATATCGTTTGCACCATCATCAGAAGTAGCTGTAAGTCCATTTTCAGATGGTGCTTCGATTCACACAGGGAAATTTATCATTTTTCCATGCCCAAAAACACCCAATCCCAGCAGCTACCACAAGTAGGACACCAATGATGCCAACAATCACACCAGTTGGAGAACCCACTGGTTCTTCCTTCTTGGAGAGTATATTTGGAAGTGGTTCACTTACTTCCTCACTCACTGGGTTGTTCATTTTGCAGAAGAGGTTCTTCACATGTCCATGCTCTTTCTTGGTGATGGGCATGACCTTCCCCGACTCTATCCACTCTCCATCCCCGGTCTTCCATCTGTAAGTGACAGGTTCAGCCCCGGTGGTATCCCCTTCACAGGTCATGATACATTCGTCACTTTCATGGCTGCATGACGCCGGGGAAAACCATATCACCGGCTTGGGGACATCTCTGATCACTAAAACGATGTATGTCACTTTTTGCTCGTTGTTGTTAATCTCCACTGAATACGCACCCTCTTCAGCGTTGGTAATTTTCTCCATAACTAAACGTCCAGAGATTATATCCAGTTTGATGTTGTCTCTGTTATGGGTCAAAGGAAGCACATCTTTCAACCATTCTGCCAGAATACTATCTTTAAACTTCCACTGGATGATGGTGATCGGATCGGAAGGAGCAGGCCTCAAATCCAGCGTCACACTACCACCTTCCTTGGTGAACTTCTTCTCCACAGTAGAAGCAGAGCTAAGAGAGGCCAAAAACAGCAGAGAAAACACGACCAATTTCCCCATTTCGTCCACGGACCAATACACGACTTTACGGATGTTCATAACAGATCAATTAATCGATAATGTCGTAAATTCGGCTCCAAGAAGACACCGAGTTACACCACACCCTTCGTCAGCGAGAAAGTGAAAATGGAAGAAGTTGTAATGCAACTCCTCTATCTTGATAACGGAGTTGTAGTTACCAACTGTAGCCAGAAGAGGGCGCCAAAGCTCCTCTAAATGTTACCATGGACTGGATGTTATGTGATCATGACTTTATCTAGTTTACTAATATTGTATATGTTAATGTTTCTCTTTTAACAGCAAGAACATAACAAGAACCAATGTTTGAAGCTCTCAGTTAGTCCCTCGAGTCTCCCGGCTACTTTAGTGTTATTAGTCGTATGTGTTTTCAGCGCGTTGAGCCCTCTCGGCCACCGTATAATTAGCACAAAACGTTAGCCGAAGCTAAACGAACTGTTTCCATCAAATAAAATGTCTTCCCGCTTAGTGAGTACAGTTAGAAGACTTGATGACACTATCTTAGAGCACAAGAGTCGCTCTCTTCTGTAGCTTCGTTTGGACATATACCGTTTTAAAAATTGAGGAGAGGAGAGAGGAGGAGGGAAGAGGAGAGGGGAGGAGAGAGGAGAGAGAAGACAAGAGGAGAGGAGGAGACAAGAGGAGGAGGAGAGAGGATAGGAGAGGAGAGAGGAGAACTCTGCATGAAACAAAAACCCAGACACAAAAAGGTGAAATAAATATCTTTTTATTGTTGTTCCATCGTCCTAGTTGCCCTGATGATGAACACAGAGCATGTGTCGTCGCAACACTCCAGGATTTTGCCTAAAAACAGCAACCATTCGACGGCACCGCTGCGTCTCTCAGGACCCAACCATGCATAACATCTCCCATTTAAAAACAAGTAAAATAAAAAATATATATTAAAAAATTATGCGTACCACTGATATACAGATCTGATATAAACAGGCGTATTGGTCACAAACCAATCAGAATTATAAACATGGCTTATTTTACATTAGACTGAACAAACATGGGATATAAGTGGACTTTTTTAAAAAGGGTACATTTTTAGTTTTTACATTTGTACATGATTATGTTTTTTCATTATTATTTTTAATGTTCTCACCTCCTACAGTCTATACACACACTCTCTCTCTCTCTCTCTCACATACACAGTCTCTTTCACACAAACACAGTCTCTCTCTCTCTCACACACACACACAGTCTCTCTCACACACACACACACAGTCTCTCTCACACACACACACACTCTCTCTCTCTCACACACAGTCTCTCTCTCTCTCACACACACACAGTCTCTCTCTCTCTCACACACAGTCTCACACACACAGACTCTCTCACACACACAGTCTCTCTCTCTCTCTCACACACACAGTCACACACAGTCTCTCTCTCTCTCACACACACAGTCTCTCTCACACACACACACACAGTCTCTCTCTCTCTCTCTCACACAGTCACACACACACACACACAGTCTCTCTCTCTCTCTCACACACAGTCTCTCTCTCTCTCACACACACAGTCTCACACACACAGTCTCTCTCTCTCTCACACACACAGTCACACACATACACACACACACAGTCAGTCACACACACACACACACACACAAGTGGTAGCAGTGGCTTTAGACTCTAAAGAGAACTACAGGTGTATCTTTGCAGGTGACAAATACTGGTACCGAGGAGTTAATCCACAGTGGTGAACGAGGCCATCTGACGGTTAAAAAAAAAAAAAAAACACATTACATTCATGTTTTGAGTCCTTGCAAACACACACACACACACACACACACACACACACACACACACACACACACATTCACTCTCTCAATCACACTTGTGTAAAAATAAAAATATTCTTTAAAATGTGCAAAGAAAAGGTCGCTGAGCGGAGACGCACGAGCGACAGCCGGCGAGGAATCGTGAAAAGCATCAGTGATTTAAAGATAGTGCATCGTGGAAGTGCGTATCAGTGCTGGCGGCTGAACGGCAGACGCCTCAAACTCCATACAACCACGGATGTTTTAGCAAATCAACAGTCGTTCTCTTCTGTAGCTTCGTTTGGGACATGTACCGTTTTTTTTGATCAGCTGATCGCAAACTGAACATTTACTACAGAGCTGCAGAAGAGCCTTTAGAGGAACTACAGACTCGCTGTGGGTCGAAAACATGAATAAACCGTCTGCTTTTAAAAAGGTGCAATCAGCTCTTTACTGACCTCTAGTGGCCGCTGCAGGAAACTACAACAACAAACATAATTCACCTGATTGGGAAATGATCTATACCACAATTGACCAAATTAGAAATGTCGTATGTACCAAACTACACGATCTGTGACTGAGTACCAAAGAGAGACCGAACACAGAAGCATTACGTACCGTTAGACAGCTATAACCGTACATACCATAACCCTCTTTCTGTATTGTGGTTACTTGTGGCTGTAATTAAATACTGATTGCACCTTTTAACGAGCCGAAAACTCTGCATAACCACTCTGGATTTAACCCAACGGACCTTTACATGTTGGCGTTTAAATCCTAATTTATAATCCGGTGCATAGTTATGAAGCCAGAGCTATGCACTTATATTATTTAACAGACAGACAGACGTTATAATAGAAATGTGTTCAAACAGAGCGAGTTGAACGGAGTGTTGAAAGTGATGAATGAACATCAGGCTTGAAAGTGTGAGTCTGTAGGAGTGCATGTGAGGAGGAGACACTTGTTCATGGACCTAAAACTAAAAAGCAGCGTTTGAGATGTCCCGGCTAGTTGGAAATGAAACCAACGACAGCGTCATGCAGCCAGACCTGCGGCCAATCAGCTGTGAGCTTCTGTTAAAACACGCCTCCGTCTCTCCTGCTTCACAAAATCAAGAGCTTCATCACGGCAGAGTTACAGAGAGTCTACGGAACGACAAACCCTCTTTTATTAGCTTTCTTCGCCTTCTTTCGAGCAGATTTCCCCTGATTTTAATATTAATTTAGTTGATTTCAGGGCTTCGAATGGTGAAAATCCATAAGATAGTTAATGTATCTTAATAAATGAGCAAAAGGAAGTGTGATATTCTTATTTTAAATGCTAAATCTTGTGCCATCTGCTCGTGGTTTAGCTCTAGGTGAGGAAGTGCTGGATATAGTCGATGTTCTTGCATGGAGTTACTTCTCTGTATTGAAGTATTTGAACAGCTACCAAAGTCAAAGACAAGACAGGATTTAAAAGTTAGTTCTTTAGTTCAGCTATCATCCAAACTAAATGTTAATTCATGGCGCTAAAACGACTTCACGTAGCTCCAACATTAGCTCTGATCTGCCGTGATGGGAGCTCCCTAAATGTGATCAGTGAACACTTTGAGAAGCAGAGGAGAGGAGGGTTCATTGGAAGAGAGAGCAGAAGCATGAGAACCAATCAGCTGGTCGATCACAGCGACAGCTCCATATTAAAACAGAAAGTCTGAATATTTGGTTACCAGTTACAGAAAAAAGGCAGAAACGGACGTTACGCTGAACTGGGATCAGCTGGTGTTCGGCTAACGGTGTGCAGGCAAAGCAACAGTCACTCCTATACACGGCGTTAAAACAGAAAAGGCACACGGCGAAGATGAAGGAGGAAGAGGAGGAAGAGGAGGAATAGCAGAACGAAGACAGTGAAGCTGAGAGACAGGAAGGGGGGGGGAAACCTCTGCATCGTTTAGAGACTACATTCAGCCAGATGAAGGGGAGGGGGGGGCGCTCAAGAGCCAGAAATCACTTCCTGTAGGTCCACAACACCGACACCATCGAAGAGAGAAACCGTACAAACATAAAAAAGTTTTTCAAAGAGTCGTCGCGTCACGAGGAAGTGCTCCGCTCCTCGGAGAAAGTAAGGTGCAACTTGCGGAGAAAACTAAAATAAAAAGGTCCTCTATGGCAGCCTCATAAAAACAGAGACACGAGGAGCAGGTACCTCAAGCCCCCCCAAACTCCACAAACACCTCCTTCCAGACTCCTGGTCCAATAAGGTTTCAGCGTGGTGGAGGGGGCGGGGTCAGAGGCAGGGACGCCCAATCACGTAAGGCCGTTTCTGGCAGTTAATGTACAAAGATGTGCCTCAGGAGCTCGTCAGCTGACGGCCGCTGCTTAGACTCTACGAAGATGCGCTTGAGGAACTCTCTGCAGTGGTCCGACACGTGGGGGGGGAGGATTGGGTTGGTGGGTTGCGTGGCGATTTTAAAGATGGCCGCCATGGCCTCAAACTCCGCCCACGGGGGTCGTTGCGTCAGCATCTCCACCACCGTGCAGCCGACACTCCTGGGGGGGG